AAAGGATTTTATCCAATAACTGAAAGCAAGCCTTTTTTTTTTAATCCATTTTTTTACTGAACTACTAAAATGATGTGTTTGTCCAACCAATTATGGACCTAACTTTAACTATTTTGTTTTTTTCACTGTTGTGGGTAAAAATGTCACAATCCTGGGTCTTTTGACCCAGCGTTTTGAGTTTCACCTTATTTTGATGTTTATGCTTTATGTTTAAGTCCTTTAGGTTTTCTAAGTTCATTCTACTGTGCCTAGGTTGCCATTATAGTTTTTTAGATTGCCCTTGTGTCTTCTACCCCTGTGTTTTGGTTTCCCTCACCCTTTATGTGTTTCTTGTCTGGGTGTCTTATGCTGTCAAGTTCATGTTGTCATGTCTTCATTCCAGGCTGTTTACTATTTTACTGTGTAATAATAATAATAATGGATTGGATTTATGTAGCGCTTTTCAAGGCACCCAAAGCGCTTTACAATGCCACTATTCATTCACTCTCACATTCACACACTGGTGGAGGCAAGCTACAGTGTAAGTTCCTTTCCTGTGTGCAGTGTGTCTTGTTTTGCTTCCCCTTGTCTTGTTAGGTCTGATTTGTCCCAGCTGGGGGGCCACCTGTTCCCAATCCTCTCTTTATCTTTCTGTGTATTTAAGTCCTCTGTCCTCCTTTGTTTAATGTCAGGGCGTCTGTTGTCTTTTGCGACATGTCTATGTCATGTCAAGTATCTTTGTATCCACGCCAAGTTTCATGTTTAGGGTTTTTCATGTTTTATTTTTAGTTTCCCCAGTTTAGGTTATTGTTTGTTCTCGTCTTTGTTTCACTTATGCATTACTTTGTATTTTTCCATCAGCCATATTAAACGGCTCGTTTTTTTGTTGACTCAAGTTACGTTCCACGTTCTATTTTGTCTGCACTCGGGTCTACTGTTCATACTTCACACAGTCAGCTACTCAGCCAGACTGTGACAAAAAAAATGTATGCAACTTGAGATTCAACAAGTGTGAGGCTGAAGCAATGTAGAAATGTCCCAACAAGTAAAGCAAGTACTGCCTTAGTTGCCTTAGTGTTATGTTAAAATAGGATTTTTCACCCAGTGACTCCAGTGGATCATTGGGCTTTCAAGAGTTAAAATTTTCCCGTGAGCCAGTTTTAGAAATAACAGAATAAATAGCCTTCAGGTGCTTTTTTTTTTTTTTAATTTTCTTTTATTTTGCCATACCGTCTAACCTTAGCCTTTTTTAAAAACCCCAGACCACGCTCTTACAAACATAACCAGGTATGTTTTTATTCTCCCAAGCTGAACAGGCTTTAACCCCAATTTTTCACATCAGGATTTTTCTTTCACATCTGATATGGTTTCTACATAAACTTTGTATTCCTGCCAGCAAAGAAAATGTTATGCTTTTTTCTTGGAGTCATTTGACAAACCAAGAAGCTTGATTTGTGAAGCTATTTATTATATATATACAAATATACTTTAAACACAGCACAAACAGACTGAGATGGAAAATACTTTTTAGTTGAGTAGCAGAGTTATCATAACCTTGAAACAATAACAAGCCAAAGCCAACACTTTCAATAAAACTACCACATGAGCAAATAGCAACAACAAACAGAGTCACAGCTATTAAAAGTGAATGAACATGCAGCACAAAGACCACATCTTACACTGAGTAAAAAGGTTTATATTAAAAAAAGAAAGCTAAAACAAATCACATTTATTTTACAAACACACTGAAATAGACATCCTCCATCAAAATGCTTTTGAACCAACAATGAACCGACATAAGTGGGAGGAAACTATAAATAATTTACAATGCTAAATTAATGCATAACAAACATAACACAAGGTCGACAGCTACTTTTTGTGACTTAAATTTACTATTAATTTCAGAAGCACTTATGTTTAAGTCTAGAGTGAACCTTCTAGGAGTGCAGTACTGTGCAAAAGTCTTGAGCCATTCTCATTTCTTTAGCTTTGAAAGTAGGAAATAGGTGCAATGATTTAGGGATAACACACAAAGTGTTTCATTCTGTGTGTTTTTCAATCCAGGTATGCTCTTACTGCTTTGACAGTGTGTTTGGGATCATCGCCATGATGAAAAATGAAGCTTGTCAATCAGACAAAAATGTGTAAATTTTCCTAATTTTTTTAAGATCACACTGCCTAACAGAAACTGTAATAATACCTTTTTAATACTATTGTTATATATTTTAAACTGCATGATGTGTGATGTAAAATGAGCTAGAAAAAGGTGGGTTTATTTGAAGCATTTCTGAAAACAAAATAAAATAAAAACATTCTGAATTGCTACTTTGTCACATACTACATTTACTTTTATGACTGTAAACGGCAACATTTAAGAAGTGTTGTGTTTAATAACAGTTTCCGCAGTGTTCAAGGTAGAAAAAGTTAAGTGCAGGTTTATTCATGTGAGTCCTCAAATATCTCAAACCAGAAACTTAGTCAGTGACTTTATGTGCCTGAGCCGCATCCATCCGTGGGTTGCATGAAGATGGTACATTCCACATCCTGTTTCTAAGCTGGACAGCACAGTTACACCCATAGAAGAAGTCTTTCTCTGCAGATGTCTTAGACACACACACACGCGCGCACGCGCGCGCGCGCGCGCACGCACGCGCGCGCGCGCTTTTCATTCCTTCAGTGGGGTATATAAGGAGAAGCAGAAGACTCCTGCATGGGGCAGCAGCAGACCGACTCCAACAAACAACAGCTTTTCTTCAGCTGACGTGTGTCTGTGTCCGCTCCACATTTTGAGCTCTTTCCATATACGAAGATTGACTGGTAAGTAACAGCTTTGGTGAAACTATTTTACTACACTAAAATTCCTTTGCAGTTTGGCAAATGTTTGTTTATAACTTCCAGATGTGAAGAAATGTATTTCCATCTGAGAGTCATTTAAGAACTGTTGTTGTGCAATCACAACAACTCTGAGTGACTCTAACAAAGCTTCTAGCACATCACTATATGCCCTATCATCACTCTTACTGATACTCTTTGTTCCATTTTAATTTAGTTATGTAGTTGGATCACATTTTCACATTTTCCACCAAATTAACTAAATGTAATAACCAAGTGGTTATAACCTGAACATTATCAGTGGGCAGTAACTCTGAGAAAATGACCAGAGTTATTAATATATGTGCAAATGAAAAAACTAACTATAACCAGAGGTTAATCACTAACTATGAACATGCCTCTACAAACCATTTAATGCATCCCAGACTTAGTCTGCTTAAATAAAGGCTTTAACGAGAGTCTTTGGCTCTTTTCAGGGTTTTATTGTTTTACCTGCAGGGGTTTTTCTTTCTGTGTCAGCAGTTGCCCCCAAAACACTGAAAAAAACAAACACATTAAGCACTCCAGTGTTATTTGAAAACAGAGAAGTAGTGTTGTAAAGTAACAAAACAGGTTTAATTATGATTACAGCTATTCATTTGATGGCAGTTTTGCAGATTCGCTTCAGCATTCAGAGTGTCATACTTTATCCAATCCACTAACTTTTTAAGTTAGGTTAATTGTGTCCTTTTTGCTTTAATATATTCATTTGGTGGGTATTATTACTCTCCCAAGTTAATATTTTACTAAATATGACCGTATAATAGCTCAGCTGCAAAAAGAGAAAAGGTAATGACCACTGTGGTGACTAATCAAACTGCTGGATTCAAACTTGGCCCTAGGTGTGAATAAAGCAAAAGGATGCAAACAGAGACAGTTGGTGTACTCAGTGACTCATTAAATCCACAAAACAAGAAACAGGACAAAAATGACATCAGCCCTTCAGCCCAGATGGGAGTTACCAAAACCCTGCTTGCAACAGGCAGAGTGGGCTGCCACTGCTGTGCAGGAAGGCGTGCAGCTAGTGCCATAAAGATTACATAAGTATAGGAAAGGCTGATTTAAGCATTATATACACAAGTGCTGCTTTCATAAGATACTTGCAGGGTGCACACTACGTGGAGTCTGTGGTAAAAACACCTGGCTCAGAGTAAAACCCACTGTTGTATAATGTGGGGGTGTGTGCTGGATGACTCATCATACAGCACAGTGAGCGCTCTGTTTTCACCTGAACCACCAGTGGCACAGTTTGCCTCATTGGGATGCCTTGGAAAGACAGAGTGATGCAAAGTATCATTAAGCCCAATATAACCTACACAATTTGAAATATCCCATGCATCATGGCACAAAACTTAATGTGGGAGGACCTCTTGGAGTGGGCATGCTGGTTGAACCTTTCATCCCCAGTAAGAGGAAATACATGTCAAACAGCTCTGCTAAGTTATACCTCTGTTTTTGCCTTTACTGAAGTCTCAAGTCTAAAAGCAAGGCTCTTAGCAACAGTAGTTGCATGATTAAGCCAAAAACAACCCGAAGCCTCGAGGGTGTGAGGGGTGTGACTTTGACATTAAATAAACCCATCTGTATTTTCTTTTTATTGGAAAACAGTTTATCTACACGTGGATTCAAAAGGTCAAACGTGCAAACATGCAAGTTACCTCTTTATGCATCATAAAGCATAAAGCACAACCTGATATTCCCATTCATCCTCATCACAGTTCTTATTCTGATGACTTAACCTCTCCAAGCAAAGGGTAATTTACTGGGAACTTCCAGTTGAGCCGGTGTATATCCAATCAAATAATTCCTATCCTGGCCACCATCTAATGTTTATGAATGCAGGTCATTTTAAAAAGCTAACAAAAGGCACATTATCATCAGACAACAACCACTGCATTTGAGATTGGAGTTCAGCAAATGCAATCCTCATTTTACTCACTGTTTACCAGCATGCAAAAAAGCCTGCTCTGATGTGATTGGCTAACTTGTGGTCTACAAGTGGCTGCTGAGAGAAACCACACATTTCCAGTAATGAAAAGCTTCTCCTTTGTCCTTAGATTATGTATGTGAATGCAAAGAGTAGCAAGCTTACAACCATAATCAGAGAGCTTACATTGTCATAAACAATGGGCGTCGCAGGGGGGCTCAACCCACCAGCTCTTTGGTTGAAACAGAAACAGGCTGAACTATGGGGCTGCAGAGTGTGCTGTGTCTTCCTGTCTAATGTGCCTTTATTTGCTCTTAAGTTATAGAAGCTGTATCTTTACATCTTCTCTCTCATTATTGATTAAACAGCCAGGCTCTGTTAATCCACAGCTTTATTTCCTGAGTTTTTGTATGAAGGTTTTGATATCTGAACTAAGAGTGACTGCACTGCTAAAGCAGGAAACTTTCATGAGTGGGCTCAAACCACAAAGGTAACAGTCGAATGTGCTGACCTATTACCAAAGAAACAACCGCACTTTGAAAACACTGAGGTCACAGTGTGGCTTACTATTAGCACCACAAAGACACCTCTATACGTAGATTAATCATGAATTAAAAGCAAAAAGTTATCGATTTTCACCAGTGGTATCTTGCTTTATGTCACAACCTTTATGTAATCTGACCTGATGTTAGCAAAGAACAACTTTGAACAACTACAGACTGTTCCCTTTTCTATAAACTCAAGCAGACTCAACCTTTTGACCACCAGTGACAGATATGACTGGCTCAATAAGTTAGAATATGTAAGATATGGATATAAAATGCCCCAAACCACCTAAACATTCAGATTTAAAAGTAAAAAAATAAATAAATATAAATATCACAGTAATAAAAGCATGCAGTTACATTTCAAACATTTGGGGAAAAAACTACTGCCACTGTATAACATACAATCACTGGTACTACTAGTAGTAATAACACATACCCCCATTTTTAAATCCCCTCATAATGATTTCAGGAGCTTTGCTTTTGTTTTCTGCCACAGCTCAGCTTCATGTACCTTTATCATCTACAATATGTTGTCTTCTTTTAGTCTTTCCTTGGTATTAATAACTAATCAGTATCTGTCTTAATTAATTTATTAATTTGTTTATTTAGTCAACTCTGTCTGTCAAAGCACTTTGCAAACTGACATGTAAATAAAGTCTATTAATATTATTGCCAAACTAAGTAATCTTACTTCAGTAAACACACTGAAGTAAGATTCTTTGTGGTTTCCATTCGTGACTGGAATAAGTTTTTTTTCTTTAAACATGATAAATGCTCTGTGCTGAAGCTTATGTCATTTTTTCCACGTTCTGTAACCACAAAAACAAACATTATTTGTGGAGTGAAAATAAATCACAAAACACTAAAATTGTCTTTCTTGATCAGGAGCTTGCAGGAATGGAAGTGACTATAAACCAAGTCTCTATCCAAGCCACAAACACACATGCCAGCCATATGTGACATAAAAGATATAACCCGCCGCAGTATTTATCGAGGCATGTGGAAGGTTTGGTTACACCCCAACTTCATCTTAGCATGTGATCTTTTTGGACTTTAATCTATCTATATATGTATGAAAGTCTTTCCCCAAATTTCCAGAGGTGGAAGGCAGATCAATTTGAAAACAGGCCTTTAGGATCTTGACAGATGAATTGGAAAGAAAATAATTTTACCAACAGTAAATAAAACAAGATGGTTGCGCAGCTTCTTTGTAGCTCCTGTAATGGTGTCGGTCTTTAATTCTGTTATGGAGGTGAGCACATTCTTCTTCACTTTCTTTATGTTCTTACAGATTCTGCTTCAGTCTGTGGCATGTGCCCAGATTTGGACTTGTTTAAAGTTGCATGACACTGACTCTAATATTTCACCCAGCATTGCTAATAATTTAGTATTCACACATCCTCTCTTCCCTCCTAGTTCCTGTCTGAAATCACCCACCCTGAGCAATCACTATCATGTCTGATGAAGCTACCATCGCGACTCCTTCTCCTGCTCCTCCCGCTCCCACTGGACCTCCTCCCAAAGTGACAAACCGTGGCCGCGCCGCAGCTCCGGCTGCCAGCGCCAACTCTGAGACAAGCGACATCCCCGAGTATGAGTACTTTATTCAACCAGGCCCCAGGGGATACCCTCCTCTGACAGGTGACGGAGGAATTTTGTGTGTTTATGTATGTGATACGTTTCTTGAAAATATGCATGCATTGAAGTGAGAAAAAAAGTCCAGTAAACCCAAAGGGGAAGACGCTTGTCAGATCATCTAAAGAACTGGATGAGTCTGTTCTTCTCGACAGTAAGCTGTTATTTATAGAAAATTAAAAAAAAACTGTTATTTGAAGACACAGTGGGTCTTCTGTGGAGAAGATAAAGCCCCTTTCCTGTCAGTCTCCAGTATGTTTTACGCATGACTGACACATGAATGACGTCCAAAGGGGATAAATTCTGCTCACTTCCTGCTGCGTGTCACTGCACTGCAGTCTGAATTACCGTCAAAGAGCTGCACACACAGAGATATCCAGATGTAACAGGAATTTATGAAAGCAATGACTGGAATTACATCAGTAAACAACTGCAAATGAACAGTCGATTGAATTTCCCTATTGACGCAACACTTGTGTTTTTAATAAGGAGAGAACAGTTCAGACTGTGTTCCCAAAAGATAACTTTTCATCACATAAGCTGTTGACTACGACCATCCAAAGGCTTTCTGTGGGAGGCAAAGCACAAAATAAGAGTGACCTTTTCAATGCAGAGAGCAGGACTGGGGAACCACTGAAGTGTAATATTAAGCCAGAGATATAACCAAGTTAAAGTTTTCAAATAAGGTCATTTGAGGACTTTCAGCTCAGCCGTGAATAAGCTTGATAAAGTTTTGAACTTTTGAAGAACATACTGGGTTCTGAATATCACGTAGGTCAGAAATAATAACAAAAAAAAATACGTTTTTCCAGAAATATACAGTTTTTTCTGGAAGCATGATCAGCATCTGATATCCACTTTCTCTACAGATGCTTCTCTTCATTTTCTGTCACTCATCTGATTTCCTCCAAAGTGTGGCGATCACTGTCCTCTTGTGGTAGGAGAAAAAAAAGAGAAACATTGAGAATTTATTCATCCTGTGTCTTCTCTCTTTGTTTCTCCCTGTCTGTTCAGAATATCTGGACATCAGTGAGGTGGACATGATGAAAAGGCCCGATGAGAGCAACAAGATAGCTCATCACACCGCGCTGTACCACTCTGACTATCTAATCGTGCGCAGAGGACAAGAGTTCCAGGTCATGATCACCTTCAGTCGTCCCTACAAACCTGCTGAAGATAAGTTCGCTTTGGAGTTTGTCATCGGTTAGTCAAATCCACTAAGTACTACTCTTATCTGTGGTCCCCATGGAGCAGGTGGTAAAGTAGTTTTAAAGTAAACAACTAAGGGCTTAAAGGTACTTTTTGTAATTACCCTTTACAGTATTTAACTAAAAACATCACTACCAGGGGACAACATTATACCAGATAGATGTGTTGCAATGCAAGAAACTTGATTCAGATGCAGATCAGATTCACTTTTTAGGATTTCCTTACCTGGATTATTTGGCATGCATCAAGCTGGGGTGTCGAC